GTTTTGTTTTTTTGAATGTCCAGAGGACCAGATTTAACTTTTTTAGAACCTGCTAAAATACACCAAAATGTAGGAAATGGCATCTCTTTTTCTGGGGGAGGACCCATGGATCACCCCCCTCACAAACACACACACACACACACACACACACACACACACACACACACATACACCCTTGCTGGAGATGTTATTTCATTGTTATTTTATGAATGATAAAAAGACTTGGACTCTGCCACAGTTACACAAGCACAATACCATTACAACATTTTTAATAAAATCTCTTCAATGCACATTTATCAATCTTTATTCAAAAACATCCATCCATCCATCCATCCATCCATCCATTATCATTACCCGCTTATTCCATTTTGGGTCACTGGGGTCATTGGTGCCCATGTCCAGCAATCACTGTGCGAGGGGCGGGGTACACCCTGGACAGTTCGCAGGTCCATCACAGGGCCACATAGAGACAAACGAGACAAACAACCATTCACTATCTCACTCACACCTAGGGAATATTTAGAGTTATCAATCAGCCTTACATGCATGTTTTTGGTCTGTGGGAGGAAACCGGAGCACCCAGAGAAAACCCACGCATGCACGGAGAGAACATGCAAACTCCACCCAGAAAGGCCCCTGGACCGGGGTTTGAACCAAGGACCTGCTCGCTGAGAGGCAGCAGCTCTACCAGTTGCGCCACTGTGCTGCCCTATTCAAAAACATGAAAGCATAAATAAATTTTCAAACCAGACAACAGAAAGTTGATGAATTTTTAAAAATCTGTTTTTTACCACAGTAAAGTAGTTTCTTTAACACTAGTCATTGAAGTTCTTGGTGTGTGCCACTAAAAGCAAAATGCCTAATTTGACAGCAGCATTGCAAAATGCCACAAGAGGTCACTGTAACTGAAGCTTCAACAAATGAAACTATTTTTTTAAACAATTGGCCCAACTGGTTCAATGCTTCATAAAAGCTTAATTTTCTCATCACTTCAATTATTGTTTCATGGGTAAATTACTCAGAATCTTTAATGAGGTACTAAAAATACATATGTACAGCACACATATATACATGCATAAGTGCTATTATTTACACAAGAGGTGCATCACATTTGCAGGGCTTCATTTAGTGCAACAATCACTACTGCCAATAGATGTCACCCAAGAGAAGTGAATGAAGCTTCGGGTAGTGAACCACTTTATGACACAATGGTTCAAAATGATTCTTTGCTTCAAAAAGTCTCATTTTGACATCACTAATTAAAAGGTTCAAAAACTGCCCAAGTTTCTAAATTTGAAACAACCAGTCAAACTCAAAACCAAGATGCTAAGCAGAGCAAAAAGGGATCAGGAGTACAAAATACTCTAAAGTTACCCAAACAGTCCTCAAAGGGCTACAACACCTCAAGTGGGGGTCAGCTGTACAAAACTTCTGCCTAAAACTGCCCCATTAAAGGAATGATTCCAGGTGGACCTCATCATCTGATTGGTGAGGCAATCTCCTACTGGTCCAATGGTGTTGCTGTTCTGTTCAACTTTGTTGGTTTTGAAAAATTTTGACATGACTGTCGATGAGGAAGAGGGCCGGCACCAGAGGAGGGGGTGTGCCAAAGAGACCATCTTAGCACCAACATAACTGGTTTGTTCCAATTTGGAGTAAGCTGTTGGGGGAAGAATCAGTTTTGTGTTGTGTGTTTCCTTGACTGATGAAGCCTTCTGGATGGATGGAAGGTGAAACGTTTCAGCACAAAAAAAATGTCCAGAAGACCTGACTGAAAATTATTGAAATGTTGAAATGGATATGCTTACCTTGTCTCTAAGACTCTATAATAACAAAGCTCAAAATATTGGTCAAAATGATTAACATATGTGAACTCGAAAGTAATGTGAAGTAATGCCTCTTTCTTATTTTTTTTGTTTTTGTAGTCTGTGTGTAAATGTGATTAGATGTTGGGCAGAAGGCCATGACTGTGAATCAAGTAGGACACTCCCACCTGTTAACTTCTTGACAATGAATTGATCAACTCATGTTAATATGATGGCCCCCAGGGGATACCTTCCCCATTCCTAATTTGTAAAGAATGGACCTGCACAGCGGTGGTTCCTCATGCTTAAGATGGGGGGTTAGAATCAATGCCATATTTCTTTCATACCTCTTGATATTTAATCAAGGCTTACTGTAAAATGCAGTAATTTAGAAAACTATTGTCTGTTTACTTGTTCTCTTTTGAGATGTATCCCTACCTCCATCCCTCAGTGACCCATATGTTCTATGCCAACAAAGTCCATGCTCAATAATCCAGGTATACAATCCAACAATTTTCAGTCAGGTCATCTTGACTAACAAAGCCTTCTGGATGGAAGGTGAAACGTTTCAGCACATAAAAAAAGAAACTGTCCAGGTGACCTGACTGAAAATTGTTGGATTGTATACCTGGATTTTTGAGCATGGACTTTGTTGGTTTTGAACCAGTTTAACATGACTGTCGACGAGGGAGAGGGCTGGCACCGGAGAAGGGGCATATCTAAGACACCATCTTAGCACCAACAACTGGTTTGTTCCAATTTGGAGTAAGTTGCTGGGGGAAGAATCAGTTTTGTGTTGTGTTTCCTTGACTGATGAAGCCTTCTGGATGGAAGATGAAATGTTTCAGGACAAAATAAAACTGTCCAGATGACCTAACTGAAAATTGTTGCATATGTTCTATGTTTATGTTTGTTTGTTTATTTGTTTGTTTTTTCTTTCTTTTTCTCTTTGTAACATTATAAAACTGTGATAAAAATTAAGTTTAAAAAAAAGAAAAGAAACTGTCTGGAGCAGTGTTGCCACATGAAGCTTCACATAGGCTCTAGAAAATGATTGCTGATAACTATATAAGGGGATGGTTTGGTGCAGATCTTATTGCCCACTTGCATATCCCACCCTGTAGAGTCTCTGGTCTCACCAGCAAGTAAATCAGTTTGAACTCCCTGCCACTCCTGGTAATTGTGTAGATTTGCTTACAGTGATGTTTTTAAACTCTTTTATTTAGATTCTATTAAGGTCACCTAGCAACAAAAAAATATGCATATTAAGCACCATGTCTCCCACTGATATCAACATGAGTCCAGCATCCTCAGACACTATCTTAATTCCTGAGCTGGTCAATAAGCTCCAATGTCTGACTGCATCAGTCCCTCTATGGTAGCTAATGTAGACTACCAATATTCTGATGTCTTCTCACTCAGCCTTCTTGTGTAGGTTCCATCACCAAGTAAACAGGCTGCAGTTTGTTGCTGAAGTCCACATGTGAAATGGTTGCTTGGTCTGTGCACTTAACAGTTTGCCATGTTCTTCCAGAACTCAAGCATGAGATCCTGGTTTGGAGGCAAACAGCTCAGCGCATTAACCCTGCCAGTCGAGAGGAAACAGCTGTGAAATGCCTTCTGATGCAGAAAGTATTCAACCTGGAAAATCTGCTCCGCAAGATGATGAAAACATTCCAAAGGTAAAATGAAAAGTTCTGACACAGCTACCACTCAGTTGTATCTACTCTCCCAGGAATACACTTGTTAAAATCCAAACATTTAATAATTACTAAAGCAGAACAGGTTTTAAAAAGTGTTCCTAAACCTTTTTTGTCCCCTGCTACCTAAAGGCAACATATAATGGTTTTGTCTATGTTTGTGTGCACATTTGTCTATCTATTAGTAAAATATCTCATGAAGTGGAAGCGCTCAACAGATTTTATTGAAACTTTTGAAAAGTTACCACTGCACATACACCTTCAACTTCAACATGCCCACCTCAGCTAATCCAACACAAAAGTGTTGTTAAAGAAAAAAGGTTGACATGGAAGCAAAGCCTTCATCGTAAGGGAGACTTGGAGGGAGACAGAAACAGGATGCCATACTGGACAATGCACAGACAATGAGGAACACAGAGATGCAGACTTATATGCAGACAGCAACAACAGAAAAAGACAAACACCTGTGGAAAAGACCATTAGGAACAGGTGGTGGCAGAAGCTGGAGCAGACTTCAAGGGGAAGACACACTAAGGAACACAAATCCTCACAGTACCCCCAGCTAAGGACGGCCCTTGACATCCCCAAAATTATTCTAACTCGATTGGCAAGAGGGGGAAAAAAGACAGAAAGAACGAGGAAAACACAAGGGATCGAAAAACCTACAGGCTAAACCTGGAATTGAAATACACACACACTCAAAAAAAAATACAAAAGTTTCAGGCGGCTGGCCAAGGAACCATCAGCACATGGGGCAAACTTTTGGGTGGGTAGCCAGGAGACCATCCGGAGAGAGGCAAGAGTTTGAGCAGATGGCCTTACTAGTCCATAACTGGCCAGATATGTCCATATGGAGCTCCTCGGGATCAGAGGAATAAGGGGTGTTGAGACCACCAAAGAAACTGTGTCAGCAGGCAAACCAGACAGAGAACCAATCATGATGGATACAATGATACACACCGACGAGGAACTCGTGGTGAGAGCCATAGCCAGTGAACCAGAGAAGAAAGCTGCAGATAGCAAATCATTGATGAGAGCCACAGACAGCAATGAATCCGATGAGGGAGCTGCAGCTGGCGAATCAGACAATGAAACTGTGGCTGATGATGGAACCAGTAGCGTTGTAGGTGGAACTAGCACATATATAGCAGGCAAATGGGCCAGTAGATTTGTAGCAGGTGTTGGGACCAGCAGATCTGCAGATGGCGATGGGTCATGGTCAAAGTTCTTTATTGTCATTCGCATCACATGTGGTACATGAGATGGAACAAAATTGTGTATACTGCAGCTCTGCAGCCTTCAATGGAACCAGCAGCTCTGCAGCAGGTGAAGAGACCGGGGGATCTGCACAGGCAAGGAAACCAGGGGAGCTGCAGCAGGCAAAGAGATCAGGGAATCTGCAGCAGGTGAAGAGACCAAGGGTGTTTCAGTAGGTGTAGAGACCATGGGGGCTGCATTAGGCTTAGAGACCACAGGGGCTGCAGTAGACTTGGAGACCATGGGGCCTACAATAGGCTTAGAAACCATGGGGGCTGCAGTAGGCATAGAGCTGACAGGGACTACACTAGGTGTAGAGACCACATGGGCTGAAGAGGGCATAGCTACAACAGGCACTACAATGGGAATAGCTACCACAGGGACTACAGTGGGTGTAGCTATCACAAGGACTGCAATGAGCATAGCTACCACAGGGACTGAAGTAGGCAATGGGACCAGCAGATATGCAGCTGGCATAGAGACCAACAGGTGTAGAGTCCAGCAGGGCAGCAGTGAGTGTAGTTACCTCAGGGGCTGCAGTGGACATAGCTACACCAGAGGTCACAGCAGGTATAGCTACCTCAGGGGCTGCAGTGGACATAGCTACTTCTATAGACTCAGGACCATCTAGAGACTGTGGACCCACTTGGGACTCAGGAGACTCTGGAGATTCTGGACCCTCTGGCGATTTTTTACTCCCCAGAGACTTGGGAACCTCCAGAGACATGGAAATCTCTAGAGACATGGGGACCACAGGAGACTCTGGAATCACAGGAGACTCAGGAAAACACTTGAGACTCCAGACCCATAGAAGACCCTGGATCCACAGGAGACCATGGACCCACAGGAGACTCTGAACCCACAGAAGGCTCTGGACCCACAGGAGGCTCTGGACCCACAGGAGAGTATGGACCCACAGGAGATAAAGAAGAAGAGTGAGAGACATATTATAGGACCAGTCCAGTTTACTAGTGATCTTGGCATCAGGTGGGACACACACCAGTAGCTCTCTGTTAATTCATGTCCCATACACAAAAACTTAAATACATTCTCTGACTTAGTTCACTCTGTACTTGCTGATACCAAAAGGCAAGCGGATCCAAAAGCCAAGCAGATACAGATAAAGGACAAGATACAGTTGTGATACATCGAGCAATACCGCACAGCAGATAAGAGCGCCTTTGCATTTTAATGGACAAATATAATTGTGTGTCATCAGCATAACAATGAAAATTTATCCCATGCTGTTTAATAATTTTACCTAATGGTAGCATATATAAAGTAAAGAGTATTTGCCCAAGCACTGAGCCCTTAGGAACTCCGTGACTAACTTTGGTGTATGAAGAAGATTTATTCTTTACATTTACAAACTGGAATCTATCAGATAGATATGATTTAAACTATTTTAGAGCTGTTCCTGTAATCCCAATATCCTATTCAAGCCTCTGTAGTAAAATATTGTGATCACCCGTATCAAATGCAGCACTGAGGTCTAACAGGACCATGTAGACACAAGTCCATTGTCTGAGGCCATGAGAATATCATTAGTGACTTTTACTATTGCTGTTTCTATGCTATGATGAGCTCTAAACCCTGACTGAAACTCTTCAAACAGATTATTTCTTTGTAGATGTTCACACAACTGACCTGCAGCTATTTTCTCTAGAAATTTTTAGATGAAAGTTAGGTTTTATATAGGTCTATAGTTGGCCAGAATTTCTGAATCAAGGTCAGACTTCTTAAGTAAAGGTTTAATTACAGAAACCTTAAAGTGCTGTGGTACATAACCATTCATTAAAGACAAATAAAGTAGATCCAAAATGTGGATATTAATTAGGGGAAACACCTCTTTAAACAATCCTGATGCATGCCCAATAATCCAGGTAGAAAAATCTAAAAAAGTTAAATCTGGTCCTCTGGACATTCAAAAAACATAACAAAGCAAAACAACAAAAAAATCTAGAAATGTTTCGTCTTTCATCCAAAATACTTCTTCAGTCTGAGGTGCTGTATTCAGCTCAGTCTTATAAATAGCACCTTCTCAGAGTGGATCAACCAGTTTGCTGCTGACAACCAAAACCAGCTGCTCACATGATCAATAAGGACCATCAGCCTAACGATGGATCATTAGCTCCCTGATGGCTGTTTACTATTCCAAGGGAGTTGAGTGATAATAGCAATAACAGCATTGTAAAAGGGGGACAGTTGAACATGGAGGCCTCCACCCCTGTTTAAGATATTTTTGGACTGGTCCTATGGTTTTGATCTGCTCAGAAACGTGATTATAATCAAATTATGGCCTGGTTCTGACTGGGTTAAACTGGGCCAGCAACTCTTAAAAAAAGTCACCCTGGGATTTCAATATCAGTCAAGGAGTAATGATATGGGACATCGGGGCTGAACGCGTCACAGACAGGAGAGTCCAGCGCTGTATATTGTAACCTTTTCCTGCCTTGATTTTAATGTAATTGATAAAACTTAATTGACGTTTCCTTGATTTATTGATAATGAGAGTTGCCACTTCTGAGGGAGATTCAAGCTGGGGGAAAGACATAGGCTGGAGGGGGTTTCCGGGTCTGGTGGCCCGCAGCCAGCTCGCGTCTTTAACATGATGGAAATTTTTTTTTCACAAAGATGGCCTCCTTTACTCTTCTCTCAAACCATCGTTCCTCTCTATAAAGGATGTGAACATCTTCATCCCTGAACGAGTGACCGCTGGCCTGGAGATGAGTGTAGACCACAGAGTCCAGGCCTGATTGGCCTGACTAGTTGATCCACGCTGAGAAGGTGCTATTTATAAGACTGAGCTGAATACAGCACCTCAGACTGAAGAAGTCTTTCGGATGAAAGATGAAACGTTTCTAGATTTTTTTGTTGTTGTTTTGCTTTGTTTTGTTTTTTGAATGTCCAGAGGACCATATTTAACTTTTTAGACCTCTTTAACAGTCTGGTTGGGATAGGATCTAGCAGACATGTGGATGATTTGGATGAGGTTATTATTTTTGACAATTCAGAGAGCTCAACAGGACAAAAACTGTCCAGACATAAATAAGGCTCTAGTGAAATTTGTAAAGTTGCCTCCTTTGACAAGGGACTGGAGATATAAGGAAGGATGGTTTGAATTTTCTCTCTAATTAAAATAATTTTATTTTTTAAATAATCTCATGAAGTCATCACTACTTATAGTTGTAGGGATACATGGTTCAACAGAAATGGGACTTTTAATTAGTCTAGCAATAGTACTAAACAGAAACCTAGCGTTATTTTGGTTCTCTATTAAAGATGAGTAATATAAAGTTCTATCTTTACGTAGAGCTTTTTTATATGTTAGCAGACTATCTTTCCAAGTTAAATAAAATTCTTCAAAATTAGTAGAGCATCAATTTCCTCTCCTGGTTTCTAGATGCCTGCTTTAAAGTACGTAATTCAGAATTGAACCAAGAAGCCAGTTTCCTCTGATTGATTACTTTCTTTTTCAGTGGAGCAATTTTATCAAGTGACGTTTGCATTGAAGTTGTAAGATGATCCACTAGATGATCTGTCACTGTTCTCTGATGCATTACTCTGCAAGACAGAGGAAAAGATTGATGGAAGAGATTGTTTAAATTTGGTTACATTTTCTGATAAGCACTGCTGAGATTAAATTTACTCTCAGTGACTGTGTAGTCATTTAATGTAAACTCAAAGGTTATTAAAAATGGTCCATCAGAAATTGGTTAGTTGCA